TGTTGGTTGAAGAATGGTAGTTGGTTTCTCTCTTGCTTGAAATGGAATATTAGAGATGATGAATTTTGATTTTAAAAATTCTCTCCTAACGACGATAACTATTTTTTGTTAGTGATTGATTATTAACATTACATTTATTAATAAAAATTAAATAAATAATTATAACCTGATTTGTAAAAGATTAAACTTAAAACTTTGATTAATGAAAAAACAGGGCCAGGTGTAATTTCCTCTAAACACAAGATAAAGAATAGGCCCAAAGCCAAGCCGAGCCATGCCAGCCAGGTATTTTGAACCTGGGTAATCAGCCGAATGGCTCATATACCAAACAATTATGGCCAAGATTCAATGGGCAAGTAATACCCATCACAAGAAAAAGGCCACTAATAATGGCAAGCTACAGAAGGCCCAGAACAGTTCCAATGGCAGCCCTACAAAGACAGGCAGCCAAAAGGCACGTCAAAAGGTAGCAAGTTAAGAGCCCAGCAGCTTGAACTGTCCAAGGGCCAAGTACTGACTTGAGTCATATCTCAATAGCATCATCCTATGAGAACTTTCCAAAATACTCCGAGGGGGAAATTAGGAGCAAAAGTTAAATGAATTTAAGCCGTCAAAAGAGATGCTAAATAGTACTTTTACCTGACATAATAGTACTAGGCAAACTGCCACAAAACATTCCCACAAGAGAGAGAAACAAAACACAGCATCCTAGACAGAAAACTAAGCCAGCGGAAGGGGACTAGCTTGAGGATATAAATACAGACACAACTGGCGTCTACTGGGTTCTGAACCATCCAAGAGCAAACACTTCACATAAAACTTAGCGGAAAGTCATACTTAACGCTACACATAAACAACTCCGGCAGAAGTCTTCTTTTATACATTAGCCAAGAAAGGCTAAATTCACATCAACAGAAAAACATAGAATTACGGACACTCTCCTGCAACTTAGGCATCTGTGGCACAGGAGGACCACCACCAGCAGGTGTCACCCCATTGTGGCTTGATGACGTCTCTGATGCGTCTTCAAACTTCATCCATTGCCCCAACTGGGTGGCAGCCAAATGAGCATAGCAGATAGGAGAAACTGCAGTTGAGAAAAAATTAAATTAATCAGTCAAGGAAAAAACTGTAAAAGTCAAAAGAAACAGAAGTATTTGGTATCAAAATTCGTAAAAGGCTCTCATACAATACGTTAAATCTTACCTACAGATATAGCAGTAGTGCTCCTCTGGTAACTGCAATAGAGAGTTGCGATTATAATCGAATACTTCATATTGTTACAACTTAGGGAGTGAATCAACTCTAGTACACAATTCTACTTACACATAAGAAAGATTGTGCACAAGCTCCTGTAGATCATCTGGTGAGAAACCAACCTCATCTAACAGAACATGGTAATGAGTAGGTCGAGTGGTCCCCTGGCAAATAAACACAAACAAAATTAGTACGTGTTGCTGGCATTCTAATCACAAGTAGTTGAGGTCGAACTTCTAAAAGCATCAAGAATACAAGTCCAATTAAATTCCTGATTTACTAAAAGCATGCAGATATTCGTATTGCATTTCGGACATCAAATTACCAACGGTTTACCATTCAATCAGTCATCTAAGGGGCCGAAATTACAGGTATTCAATTGAAACTCGAAGTATATCAATAAAACATGATTAGGGGTTCGGTAATCCTTTTTAGTAAATTTATAGGACAGATCAATTCAGGTAACAAGTAATACAAGAGTACCAATTAATTACACACAAATCTTGAGAAAATGTCCTCCTGATCCTGATAAGTTTAAGTCATTCAACTTGACTAGCCAAGACGGTAAAGTTCATACAATTTCGAGATGATAATTATGTCACAATAATATAGGCATCAAAAACTGTGTTCACTACTAAGGCAATAATTTACATTCAGATAGCAAGATAATTAGAAGAGGATATGCAAAAACACTTACTATCATCCCAGCATGAGCACACAGATAAAAGTCATAGTTTCGCGGATGACAAACTTTGTTATCAATTATTGTTCCTGCAAAGTCAGAATGTTGAAGGAGTCAGCAGAATGGAGCTTCTTTACTGTGCAACTCTTCCACATAAGTATAAATAGAAATTTGATATTTGCACAGTTAATACATATTTCTTACCTGGCTGCACATTGTCTGGAGAGCCAGGTTGAAAGAACTTTGTATGGTGATTTTTCTGCGCAATGATTACGACAAATTTCGGGTTCCATTTCTCGTCCAGAAATTTACAAGCCTATACATGAAATGAAAGATCGAGACCCAAAAGTTATCTTTACTTCAGTTCAAAATTCAAGAAGCTTCTGAACTTCATCCTAAATATGGCAATTAGGGGATTCACCTCTATTATTTGGTTCAGTTCAATGTTGAGAACTTGATTGAACTGTGATTCGCTCACACCATCCCTGAAAAGTTTGAACATGGGGAGCAGTACAATTCAGCAAACTCGTTAGCAGTGTAATTTATAGATATGATTAAATGATATCAAAGAAGACTATGAAAACATTGTGGTTAACTATACACTTAGCCCCGGTATGGTGTAGATTAAAATCAGATTTTTAGAAGATTTTAATAAAAGTTAATGAAATGTGTCATTAAAATTAATTGTTAACTTTGACTTATATTTCAAATGAATGTAATCTTATATCAAACAACAAGGGCTTAATGAGTAAATTATCAAATGTGCTTGAGATCGAAAAACAATTTATTTACAACCTGGAATACAACAATTTACCTGAAAATGATAATCTGGTCTGGCTTCCTTTTTCCTGAACTGACATAGAAATCAAGCAAAAGCTCCCTGCAGTTCAAATCATGATCCAATTAGTTACCTGTACACAAGTGTGTAGTTACGGGCAGCTTTGCTTTAATTATGCTAACTCGAGACGAAAAACTCACCTGATTATGCCTTCATCCTCGGTGTCTGATACACGCTTATACAAAGAATCAATCATTTCAACCTTAGGGGATTGGGTGCGAACACATGCTCGGTAACGAGAGATTGATGGCCATTGTCTCGAGCTTACAACCTATTATTAAAATGAAAACACAGAAGCACGTTGCAATAATTAGAAAGTGAAGAAAAAATCAAGTACATATCAACCAGAAGAAATTGGTAGCACTTTACCGCAGCAATGGATGGGATATCAGACTGGCCGGGGGAGCCATGTGACACATCCATACCAAGTATTATGGTTGGAACCTTGGATACCATTGGGATAGACGGAGTTTGTTCAATGGCTAAGATAGAATTCAAGCCACCTAGCTGCCAAAACACAAAAATCCAAGGGACAGAAGATATAAGCACACACTTGTGAAATTATAAAGGCAAAATCTCAAAATATTTAACACAACTTACAAATTCATTGAGCAACTTACCTTTGCATTGATCTTCAGCAGAAGATTAGTCAGATACTGATCATTAACTCTGGTGGGTGCCAGGCATTGGGTAACAACCCCAAAATCAGCCAAATTTTTTCGCTTCCAAGGACCTTAAAAGTTTTGTTCATGTTAAATAACTTTTATGGGTAATTTATAATCATAGCAATTACTCAATAACAAACCGTAAATGTCACAGTTTTTTCTTTCTGGAAGCAAACACAGAAGAAACTTGGGCGCCCCAGGAAGTTTTGATTGAATATCTTCAAACATCTTCTCTACCCGAACAAGAGGTGGAGCCCGTCTATACTGTGCATTCTCTTCAAAGACATCAAACGGAGGCTCCACACTCTGACGACAGCATAGAAGGAATTAACATAGATTTTCAATAAGGACTTGTTTGGCCACATTAAATTGGAAAAATGCATTTTCAAATGGTAGATTAATAGAGAATATGTAGTTAAAAAGTAAAAGTTTCGGATTTGCGTGTAACAGTATTTTATTGAAAAATGTGTGGTTGAAACAAAGAGGCCTAAATATCTCAAAGCAAATAGTAAGCACAAATGAAACTGGCAGAACATACAATTCCTTTCATTTCTCCCACTTTAATCAAGTCCCTGACAAGGCCTCGTACGTCACATCGAGCTGAAAAGTTGGCAACAGCCCATCTTTCTATCTTGCTCGGATTCACAAATTTCTGTCCAACAATATCAATGTGTTTTAAAGAGATAAGAAACATAAAAAAATTCATTTGAATTTACATCTAAGATCAAATCAGCACAAGGCAAACCTTATTATTAAAATTCCACCTTCCATTTCGAGCGTATATATCATCTCCATTTCCAGCTTTCAACTGGAGTTAGATGATTAAAGATTAGTTAAAACCTTTTCACCCACCTCAACAAAACAAGATTACAATAGAACTGATTTGTAGATACATCCATCAAGAATAATATTTCTTGAAAACGTACCTTCGGGGTTGGTAAAATGCGGCCATCAACCTGAGTGAAGTTAGTGCTGATAGAAATGCCGCTTGCACGAAGCAGAGGCTCTGAATCATAGTTATTGCTTTTCAAAGCCTGCCAATACCCAACACCATCAATCAAAGTCAATTTGTAAAATCATACCTACAGAAAAACAAAAACATACACCGCTCAGAGTTGTCATCCGCTCCTGCGGTTTTTGGCGTGACTTCTCCACTAGGGAAGCTCTCTGAAAGGTGGATAGAGCTTTGGTGTATCGTTGCAAGGACACCAATGAACATAGCTGCAAGAACAAAAGCAAACCAATCAAACTCCTGTCTTTTGGATATTAGTGTGATTTATTTTCAGTTTAGAAAAAAAAAATCTCAAAAAATAGTAGCAATAGCGAAGGGGGGGATTCATCTGGGATTAAACTCAAACCAGAAATGCAATAGTTTTACCTCGATAGGGAAGTAAGTTGGACGCTTGGGCTTCCCGACATTGATACAAGGCANAGTTGGACGCTCCAGCTTTCTGATATTGATACAATGAAGATCAGCAAAATATAGCAAATCAATGTTATGTTTATTAATAAAGTTATTATATACTGTTACTTCAGTGGTTTGAAATTCACCAGTATCATCCTTGTTTTTCTGCTTCAATGAGAACCTGAAACAGTTGATAAAAGGGAACAACTTCAGACTTGTGCCAAACAATGGAAACCAGAATAGTGAAAAAATAATTAATAAGATCAAACGAAACAGAGAAACCATACAATTGCTCTTTGCAAGGCCTATCACTTAATCCAGTAATTTTGTACTCCTGGTTAGTAGGGATTGTCGTTATCCTCAAATTCTTCAGAACACGTTTTGCCTGAGTGGTTCAAATTATAGTAGATTTTGTTTGCAATGAGAAAATACTCTTGATTAAAGAAGTGGTTCGATTAAACACATACAATTGCCTGCATGAAATTGTTCATTACCTTTGCCCAGTCAATAGAAAAGGGATCCTTCACATTTTGGTTTTCAATAAGAAAATCTACCACAGGACCAGGCCGAATTATCATAGTTGTAGATACGTCTGCAAACAGAAAGAAGGATAACATCATAAATAAAAGATTTCAACAAAATTATTGAACAGGAAGGCGATTTAGTTAAAATGAGTATCTAAAGGAAAAATATGCATACGAAATATTTACCTATGTTCAAAGACAAGCCTCCCTGAGAGGTTCGGAAGCTTGAGTGGAATCCTCGACAGCCAAGAACTCCTCCTCCAACGTCAGTGAAATTCCTCGGATTATTGTCGAAGAATGATTGACGAACCAGTAGGCAACCCCTGACATTGAACATTATGGTTAAGTACATATCAAGTCATAACGACTTCAAGCGACAAATGTGTGTTAGAGTGTCGCACAGTTATTTATTTGCCAAACATGTAATTAGTTCTGTTATTAACTCTCTTTCAGAAAGTAAGTTACTTATTTTACCATTAGAACTTTAAGTCTTGACTCTTATGTAAAGTAACATTTTAGCAGACAGGCATAATCTAACTCATGTTACAAGGCCGTAAAGCTAGAAGCACAACTTACTTCTTTGCAGCCTGCTGCCTTAAAATGATATCTTATTTTATCATTAGAACTTAAGTTTTGACTCTTATGTAAAGTAACATTTTAGTCGACGGACATAATCAAATTCATGTTATAAGTACGTAAAGCTAGAAGCACAACTTACTTCTTTGCAGCATGCTGCCTTAAAATGATATCCAAAACTCTCAATGCTTCTTGGGAGTTCTCAGATTCCTGACCGCGTAGAGCATTTGCAATCGCCTGCATGGGGATTTTGGCAGCAAAACTTATCTCCACTTTATAAGTCTTGGATCGATATGAGCGCCTTGTCCTTTTCTTGTCGTTATCATTAGGACTTCCAGGTCCTCCAGGACTAGCATTCCCATTGTTCCTGCATACAAACCATGCATTAGCATAAAGACACAAACATCAATGGAAACAATTGAAACGACATGTTCAGACAAACCTATTCGACGTAACATCATCAAGCACAACAGTAAACTCAAGTTTGTTTCTTGGAAGTGAACCAACAGTGAAAAGGCTTTTCTCCCCATCATAAGCAAATTCTTTTCCTGCCAACTCAGTGTCGTACGTCTGCTGAACTCTGTCCAACACTTTTCTTCCAATACCTTTCCCATCTACAGGATGACCATCTTCAAAGGCCAGGGCCACCTAAGAAGAAACAAAATCAGGAGAAGTAAATTATTAAGTAAGCCACACATAATCTTAAGTAAAACACAAAAAAAATACCACCAAAATAGGAAAGACGTTGGGTTCAAGAAGATACACTGTAATGATAGAAGTGCCCATCAACATTGGAGACATTCACTTTGAAGTGATTAGTAAGAATGGGAACTTTATTCCCCTTGGTCCCCGAGCCTCGTCTAGCCATTGGAGCACGAAAAACCTTCTTCGCTGCTTGTTCTGATTCCGCTTTTATTGGAGTTACATTAGGAGGAACGGGCGGGGGAGGCGGCAAAGAATCCGCAGCCCCATTATGCTCATGTTCACCATTATGAGCTTGTTCAGAGGAATCCATTGTCGGGTATCTTGGAAAAGTTTCACCAGTGATTCTGCAAGTCTGGCAACAACAAATATGTTAGGAGATAATGTATAATTACGATTAACCAAAATGAAAAGAAAAACAGAGAACTCTAAAGAAAGTAAGAAACGGAGCTAACACATAAAGTAGTCCATGCAAGAGCAAGGGAAAAAATAATACCAAAATGGCACATGCATGTCAGTAAACTGAAAACAGAGAGCAGCCAAAAAAAAAAACTAGTAGCCAATAAAAAATAAATTTAAGCAGATCCAAACATCCTCCCCCGCCAAAAATATAAAAATAAAAAAGAACTGCTTCCTCTGGGACTAAAAGGGAAAAAAGAAGAAAAAACAAATTGCATGAGAAGAAAATGAGGGAAAAAGCATTTAAAAATACAAATAACTCGTCAAAAACCACTTCTGCGTAAAGAAACGTCAAAGTAAATCAAAAAATAGCTACGGATTTATATAAAGATCAGGTATATCAAAAAATATAACATAAAAATCAAAATAAATCACCAAAAGGCGATAAAAACAGTAATTTTTCCAAGTAAAAGAACAATTTAAAAACAAAATACCCAAAAATAAGGGAATAATAGGGATTTCAAGTAAAAACTACCTTAAAAACTCAAGAGTCTGAGAAGAAAACTGAAAAAGTAAATGGGTACTAAAATGATAAGAAAATAAGGCAAAAAGACAATAATCCAAGGAGATTTAGAGTTCTAAATCTAATAAGCACCTTAAAACCACAGATGGGGTTATATCACAAAATTTACCAGAAAAATCAAAACAATTGACAAAATTTACCAGAAAAAACCGGCCTTTTTTTTGTAAAATAGAATAAAACCAGGCAAAAATACCGAAACAACTGGAATAAAGGAAGTTTCATGAAAAATATCTTAAAAACTCCGAGAGCTTGAGAAGAAAACTGGAAATGCAAATGGGTGCGAAAAAAGAGAGAAACCCCCAAAAAAAGGTATACAAAAAGAGAAGAAAACTCAAAGTCAAAACTGAACACCTTAAGAAACCCACAAAAACAAAGTGTAAATCTAGAGATCGACCTTGATCGCGGTTTTGAACAAAATAACATGAATAGATTTCAAAATAAACAGCAAACACATACCAATTTTTACAGAAATTTTGGAAAAACCCAGAAATTTAACAATAAATCGCTGATAAGAAAAGGGGCTTCTAGGAATCAGCAATTTTACCTAAAAGACTCCGAGATTTGGAGAAGACGACGGCGTAAGAGATAGAGAACGAAGAAACCCTAAAATTGACTGGAATTCAACGCCATGAATTAAGTTTCAAGAGGGAGGAAAAAAAAATTTTGTAGCTAAATAAGTCCAGGTTCTTATAAAACATCTTCAAAAACCCACAAAAGATCAGATTTGAAGAAAATCAAAAGATTTCAACAAAATGCAGCAACATAAACATCTTCACAGCAATTTACCGTTAAAACGCTCATAGAAAAAGGGACTCAAAAAAAAAAAAAAAAAAAAACAGCCACATACCTAAAGGAGCGCGAGAACAGAAAGAAACCCTAAACACTCACTGGCTTTTACACCATGAATGAAAACATATTTTCAGAGAGAGAAACAAGAGAGTGTAGTTTCAAGGAGTGAAGGACAGCTCTATATGGCACACTGCCTAGGTATCTGTCTTCACCCACGTCCTCTCCATGGGGCCCACTTTCTGTAATATTATTAATATTGATGTAATAATATTAAAATTATATTTGTTCCACCTAGATATATTTTTCATTCTCATTCTACAATAACGTAGCTCAAACAACACCCTAATAATAAATAAAAATGGTCAAATTTGTTTTGGAAAATTTCAGGCTTAGTCCCTTTTCTTTAGTATATGAGTCAAATTAGTTCTAACCTTCGAAATTGAACTTTTCAACTCCCAAATTTAGCATCGTTGAAGTTTTTTTGTTATGTTTCAATACTAATACCATAATTTTAATTGAAAAATGGTAAATAATAGCGAAAATGAAATATCAAAAAGTAGAGAAAAAAATTGCAATTGACGAATAAGTTTGATTACGAAGGTTGGGGATTAATGTGTCACAAAAGCTAAAGGTTAAGGACTGAATATGAAAGTTTCTCTAATAAATTTGTTTGGTTATTAATTTTATATAGAATTAATTTTCTATCACCAGAATTGATGGGAGTTTTTATCGCAATCACAATTCCGAAATATCAGCTATTCCATTTCGTAACCCGTGCCACGAGGTCACTAATCACAAATTTAGGCCCTCGTTTGACACTCATTTTCTTTTCATTCTCATTCTCAATTTTTGTTCTTTTTTCATTTCAACCACACATTCTATCAATAAAATAATACTACACATCAACCCAAAAATTCTCATAACTTTTCAACTACACATTCTTCCATCAATCACTATTTCAGATTTATTTTTTCTCCAAAATGGGTGTCAAACAAGGGTTAGATTGGCCTAGAAATTAAATTAATATATGGTAACAAAATGGGTTAAATTAATATACGTATTTTGAATGTATGGTTAAAGGGAGGGCAAAATAGAGAATAATGAATTACACCAAATTTGGTGTTACCATTGAGTATTCTTTTTTTCCACCAAATTTGTTGTACCGTTTGAGATGGTCTTATGTCGATCCTTTTTTTTTTTTCGAAGTATCGTTATTTTCAATCTTCTATTGATTAGTATGTGTCATCTTTATTAATGTCTGAAAATTTTGTTGAAAATACATAAAATGACTTATCCGTTGATCATTTTTTTAAGAAAACAATAAATCAAAATGAGAAAATATATTTTTTTTTCTTCATTTCAAAACACGCGAACAAAAAGAGAGAGATTAATAGAAGGTTTGAGGTAATAATTCAATTAAAAAAAGTTAGGGACATAAATTCTACTATAAGCAAAATTTGAAGATCTTGACTGTAATTAAGTTATGTTTGAGCTTCATTGGACAAAAAATGAGTATTATAATAATAATAATTTTTTTAAGAGTGTCTGATTAAAAAATAGAAAAAAACATTTTTGAATTTATTTTCAAATTATTTTATTGGAATAATGTATAATTGAAAATGAAATTTTTTAAAATAAAGATATTCATATTTCGTTTTTGGATTGTTTAGCTGGGACACGTGGCAGTTATAAATGACATTTGAGTAATGGGATCAAAGTAGGGTTTGTTTGTAATTTTAGGTGATAAATTAATCAAAATTCCAGAAATTTGTGGGTCCATTAATGTTTAACCATTACTTTTAGTCAACCTGGAAAGTTTTGTAATATTTCACTAGAGGTGAAAAATAATAACAAAAAAAGTCAAATCCTTTTAAATGAAGTCAGCCCCTTTTTGGTGTACTTAAAAATTGTAATTTTATTTATCATTATAATAATGAAATATCGTTGACGTGGCAATCAATTAGAGTTCACATTTTTTTCTCTCTCTTGTCTTTCTTTCATAAAAATTAAACTGTTCAAATCTCATTATTCCATGTGAATTATTATATCATCTACGTTTTATTATTATAATGATAAATAACATTATTCACTTAAAAATCATATTTAGTACGTTTTGATTAAAAAAATAATAAGATGTGTAATTAAAAAGTTGATTAAAATATGAATTCAATAAAGTGTGGTTTAATTGTTTATTAACTTCAATTTAATTTTTTGTCAACATTTTAGCTACACCAGCAATAGTTGCATCACAATTCTAACAAAATTTTCGATTAATTTTATTCATTTTAGTAATATTCACTTATTTAAATTTAGTTGGTAAAGTATTGTATGATCTATCATCGCCCGTTGGACAAATGATCAAAAAGTCAACTATCTCCTTCATAGATGATTATAGCAATTGCTGACGGTAGGTTCTTCAATTGAGAAAATCGGATCGATCAGGCCACCAATAATCTTGCGGAACTCAAGAAAAGTAGAACAAGAAAGAAGGATCGTTAATTAATGATAACATTATTCAAATGGTTTAAATGATAATAAATTAAATACATATAGAAAAACAAAAGTATGGTATTATTAAAATGATTAAATACACATTGAAAAATAAAAAGTAATGTATTATTGAAACAATTGAATTATAATAAGGATAGAATCATAAAAAAAATTATTCTCATTTGACGTGATATTTAATATATTATAAATTGTTCAAAATGATTAAATAAAATCAAGTACATATTGAAAAATGAAAAGGTAATAAATCCGTCAAATATGATTAAATAAATTAAATACATATTGAAAAACAAAAAGTAAGATAATGAATGTGTCAAATGTACATTAATCATAACTAAATAGTTAACAAAAATAATTAATGATACTGTTTTCAAATGGTTTAAATGATTAATAAAATGTGTCAAATGTACATTCGTCATAACTAAATAGTTAACAAAAATAATTAATGATAGTATTTTCAAATGGTTTAAATTATTAATAAAATGTGTCAAATGTATATTCATCATAATTAAATAGTTAACAAAAATAATTAATGATAATGTTTTCAAATGATTTAAATGATTAATAAATTAAATAAATATTGAAAAACGAAAAGTTTGAGTATTATTGAAATAATTAAATACGCATTGAGAAATGAAAACGTAAGAAATTATTGAAAATTTAATTATAATAAAAATAGAGTCGTCCAAAAAATGATTCTCACTTATTGTGTAGATTATTATTATTATTATTATTATTATATGCATTTGTAATAGATTTTAATAATGTAGTCAATAATAGTTAAGGAATTAATTAAACTAAGAATACGAAAAAAAAATGTAACAAATACGATTATTTAGAGTTAACGCGAAATACATCACAACAACTACATACATACATCACTCTATAATTATTTTAAGAAAACGATGCGTAAAACGAGTGAATAATTTAATAATTTAGTTGTAAAATTAAAAAAAAATTGTTAATAAAAAAAATGAAGAAAATGATTAAACAATGTTCATTTAGTGTAAGTTTGCAGTAATGGGTTGGAGATA